ACTCTAAAATGTGGTTCTTTTTTGAAGAAAAAAAATGAGTTTAAATAAATTTGTTCTGAAAATTTCAAACTTTTGCCTGCTGGTATATATATACTACATTTAATAAAAAAAGCTATTATAAACCAAACTGTATCTGATAATTTGCAGGAATAATAATTATTTTTAATAATTAGAAAAAATGAGAGATTGATAAATTTCTTCCATTCATAAATTCTATACAAAATGAAGGAATGCCCTGCAATAAAAATACTTACATTAATATAATGCGTAAGATCCATATTGTTCACAGTAGAATGTTCTCCAACTGAAAGCAAAATTACTTCCTTTCTTTGTTACTATACAAACTAGATATGACCAGTAAAAGCTGTGTGATGCCTTCTACTGATTATATGAAGACATGACTATTGTTTTGCAAAGTAATGATGGCTATTACCATGGAAAGAGTAAAAGTGTTTAAATGCCTGAAATATAAAAATAATAGGATGAATTATACTTCAAAATATATTTAATAAATTTTATTTACCAAAAAATACCTGCTGAAATACGGCAGAAATGTTTTTATTTATCTACATGTGTGAATGGGGACACAGTGACAGAAGGATATTTTGTTTTTAAAGGATACCTTAAAATTATATTTGAATTCTAATAAGCAAATGATAATAGTTTATACGCGTAACTGAATAATATTGATAGTTTTGATTGCTTATTGTTTTTGAAATTCTAAAATATGTAATTGTGGCTCCAGGAACATGAAATGACCACTTGTCGGAGAATGACCCAGACATATATGCCTTATTGGAATTAATGTAAACAAAAAAAGAATGTTTATTAGAGATTGAAAATTAATGAATAAATGAAGTGAAATGAAAATTATTGAAGAAAATTAAAATTTTAACTAATTATTACTTAGATTAATAATAACAAAATAGAGAATAAAATATTTGAAAAGTAGTTAACAGAGCTTAAAAGTGATTACTAACAAAAGGCAAATGCATTTCAATTTCATTATGCCGTGTGTCATTTTATACCAACAAACTTTCTATAGGAAAGAAATGAAAAAAATCAAAATCAAGTATCAAAATATAGCTTTAGAATCCAAATTATGCACACAAAAAATTAATAAGTAATATGAACTCTTTGAAATTTTAAAAACTAGCTCAACCTTTACTATAAATCGCTTTTATTATTTATTGTTGCAAAAAGAGAAACTAACCAAAAATCAGTTGAAAAAATCTTAATAATTTATATAAAGAATTTAAGTGCGTTTTAATTTCACGACAAAAATAATTTATTACAGCAATATTTGAGAAAAAAAAAATACTTTTGCATTTCTTTATCACACATTATAAAAGTAAAACACTCGCACAACAGTGAGTCAGTTAGGCCTAAGGGATCATGGTGGTTGAGGCTCTCGTAATTTCGGCACCATATGGTCACATGAGGATAATATGGTCAGCATTGCGCAGAGGCCCCCTTTACTTCCCAGTACGTTGATACCTATTGATCTGAAGCAGTGCTTAAAATACAGTGATACCGCAGTAAAATTTGTAACAAATGCATTGTATACCACAAAAAGTCTGATCAAATAATAATCAGGAATTTAATGAAATTTATTCTGAGCAATATAAAATAGGTTCAATCACAACTGAAACGTCTAATAGATTTATCATTATTCGTAACCGTTTAATTGAACTAATTTAATATAACTTTAATTTAATTTTAATTTAACTTTGATTGTAATAAAAAATAATAAAATAAAAATAAACTGAACTTATTAAATTTTTCAAAGACATATATCAAACTAAATCAATAAAAAGTACTATAATAAGACACAATTATTTCTAAGCAAGAACTTAAAACAGTTTCTAACACAATCTAATATTTAAAATAGGGATGAGGGTTTTGCATTATTTAAATTTAGCTACTTCTAAAAATGTCTATTTTCATTGAAAATAATTCTTGTAAATGTGACTTTTGTAAAGGTGCAAACATTGGTAGACACGCAACCATTTTATCTTTTATAGAAGTTTCACAAAGGTTCAGCAAATCGAACATTGACCTTCATATAACTAAGCAATATCATTAAATAAGGTCAATAGAACAGGAATATGAACGATCAAGGAAACAGTATTGGAATTCGTCAAAAGTGCTCATTTTTTTTATTAGATATTTTCTCAAAATATCTATATTTTAAAATATTTGAAGTTAAAATATTTGAAGTTAAAATATTTAAAATTAAAAAACATTTAAAGTTGTAAAATTCAAGTTTATTAAACATTATCAACGAATGAAAACGCTTTAAAGAGTTTTAAGACAACTTTTAAAAATTTAAAAGCCATTTTAGCTTCTAAATAAAAATTGAAAAATACATAACACTAACAACATAATTTTACTAAAATATTATTTTTAAAATTTGTTATTTCTTTAATTTCAGTTCTTATTTAGATGCTGTATTCTCGAACTTATTTTCTAACAAACAATACAGTGCCTGGCCAAATTATTAAACGCACTATAAGATGCTATGTAAAATCTTAATTATCAGGTGATACTATACAGCTTTATTATTTTTACGCGACAGAAACCGGTTAGCAGTTGTTTATCTTCGTGTATCAATTGGTTGACATTGTAATGCAATACGTTAAAAATAAATGCAAATAGGAAGCATATAAAAAAAAATCTCCTGAATAAAAACCCATTACATGTATGTTTAAATATAAAAGTATTGCATATAAACTTGTGCAAAACATGTAATTATTAAAAAACTACAGTGTGTCTATTAATCTGGTCTAATTATTATAATATACTAATATAATACCTGATGTAATAAATATTCCATATTTATATAATATATCGTCTAATTTATCCTGTCGTCGAATTTATATAATACATAGTCTAATTTAACCAACTGATAGACGAACGTAAACAAGTACAAACCGGTTTCAGTCGCGTGAAAACAATAAAGCTGTATAGTTGATTATTAAGATTTTACATAGAATCTTCTGGTGCGTCTAATAATTTGGCCAGGGACTGTATGCTGCTGGATATAAAAAAACTAAAGAATAAAACACTTTTTAATTAGAAATTTAATTTAGAATTGATTTGGAAATTGAATTGAATTCGAAATATTCCGAAGTTTCACCCTATTAGCAACATCACAGAATAAGATTTATCGTTACCTATATTATTATTGCAGATATCAATAAGTACTACCTATATTAGTGATAATATCATTACATTCGCAACTTTCTTCAACAAATGAAAATAAGGATATATCTTAGTATGCAGCTTTCTTATTAAAGAACTTTTCATTATTTATTTTTTGTAATAGTCAAAATTTCACAGTAGATTTCTATTTTAATGTAGATATTTATGTAAACTCAATGAATTTAAGAGAAAAAAAGATAGAATTAAAATTATTTTTCTCTATAATTCCCTGCAGTTTGAATGCCTAAAGACCTAATGGTATTTAAAGAGAAATGAACTGCCGTTGGTTTTCATTAATAAGGGAGTTCATCTTTGTATTGAAGTCCATCGAAAAATAAATCTTGGAGTTATTTCTTTTACTTAATCTCAAATCTATGCAAGCAGATTAATATTTTTGCTATCAGTCAAATGGTGCTCACATTGTGAAAATAGTCCAACATTCGTGAAGAGAAAATATAATGAATTTTCTGACAAAAAAGTGAATGATCTCCAGGCCCTCTGAAATTTAACCTATTGGATAATTTTGAGAAAGGTACGTGCTATCGAAAACGAACGATGTAAAGCATACAAATTTGAACAAATATCGAAACGTTATAAAGTCTTCATTTTTTTATCTTATTTTATCACCGTCGTTGATAAAATAAAACCAAAAGACAAGGGAACTCCTAGATCAATTATTGGGAAAAATTGGAAACGTGGATGACTTTTTTGATGAAACTAACTCTCCTTTGCGTTACTTGGAGAAGAAAACCACGAAACCCTCCCAGAACTCTCCTGTAGAAACGTAAGATTTTGTCGTGCTGTGAAAAGTGACTTTGTGAAAAAAGTGAAATTTTCTAGAGTTAACTACTACTCAAGTTTTAAATTATCCCATTTGCTTAATTTAAGACCAAAACATATTTTTATTATAAATATACCATGGGAAACACAAATATCTTATTTTTCTAATACAAATTTCAAACATGAAATAATTGAATTACCAATTTTTCCTTTTTTAAAGGTTAAATTTTCATAGGTACTTTAGCCTTTTATAGGTTGAGAAAGAATTATTAAAGTAACAGACATATTGACAGTTTATTTTCATCATAATTTCTGATAAAAATGAGATTTTTATATTATTATAATACTTTCGTGAATACAAATGTCTTGATTCTCCAAATAAATTACAAAAACGAAATAATTGGGTTACCAATTTCTCCTTTTTAAAAATAAAAAAAAAACAAATTTCATAGGAACGTTAGACTTTTATGGTTTAAGAAAGAATTATTAAAGTAACTGACATATTTTGATAGTTTATTTCGATCATAATTTCAGATCGAAATAAGATTTTGATCTTATTATAATTCTTTGGTGAACACAAATGTCTTGATTCTCCAAATAAATTTCAAAAATGAAACAACTGAGTAATTAGTTTTTTTTCTTTTTAAAAAAATTTCATAGAAACGTTAGCCTTTTATGGGTTAAGAAAATATTCTTAAAATGGCAGACATTTTGCCTTCTTACCTCTCAAATTATTAGTTATACCACCAATTACGCAAGGGCGAAATAAAATAAGCTTTTTCTTTTGAAGTATTCAAAAAACTTAATAATCTTACATTTCCATTTCATATTATTTAAAATTCTTTTCACAATTTCTATTACTTTCTTTACATTTAAATAGGCAAAGAAGAGCTGCTCCTTTGGCCCGCTTTTTACCCCCACTTTTTTTTTTTTAACGATGTTCAGATATTTGAGCTCATCAGACGTCACCTACATTTCCTGGTTATTCCCATTACAAATTAGATTCTACCTGTAATTTGAAGTAGATAGCTTAAAACTAGATATCTTTTATTGGAAGAAATCTTTGGTCCATTTAATAGGCAATTCATGGACAATCGTTTTTAAAGTATAGCCTGACGAGGTTATTTACTTTTACATGATGGTCTTTTTGTTGAAAATAAACCTGTTCTTAACATTATACAGTAAGTGGAGTTTTATAGATTATACTATTTAAAACGTGTTTTTATTGAATTGCATTTTTTTTTATCATACTAATTCCATAGTTTTCTAGTTTTTCTTTATTAAAAACACTTATAAGAACAATCTAATTATAAATAAAAGGCAAACAATATATGATAATAATTTATTAAATATTTACTAATGAGAGAGTTAATAAAAAGACGTTGTTATGCATGAAGTAAGATAAATTTTGATAAAATTTGTTTTGTTGTGAATACAAGTAAAGTGTTATTTTTATTAGTAAAAATTATAATTAAACTTATACCTGAAATGTGCTTCAAGCGAAACATTTACTCTAGTTTGTATTGGTTCTGATTAAATATCTTATTATAGATTACAAATTAAATTAGATTTGTTGCTTATTAAAGTCTGCTGCTTTGTTAAAAGTCAGCGACCAATGTATCAATTAAACAAAATTGATCAGCTCACACTTATAAAAAATGAATCTAATTACGAATAAAAGAACAACAACAATAATAATAATGACACAAATAAAATATTAGTTGCCTCTAACTCTATGAATTTTTAACAAAACTATTTATATTTTATCGAAAATCCTCACAATGAATCTAATTACAAATAAAAGAACAACAGCAACAATAATAATAATAGGCCATTAAATATTTACTAACAAGTGCGTTGTTAATCATCAAGTAAGCTAAATTTTGATAAAATTTACTTTGTTTTGTTTATAAATTAAATATTAGTTACCTCTAAAGCAATGAATTTTTATCAAAACTACTCATATTTTGTCGAAAATCCGCACAAGACTTGTATTTTTGTAATTTAAATTGAAATAAATCCAAGATTATCAATTGAATAATTAATCAAATCAGAATTAAACTAACACCTTATTGAATAATTAATCAAGTCAATTAAAAACTTTATAATAATTAAATTTGATTATTTTAGCCATTTTTTCATAAAGTATAGAAATTTTAATCTATCTTTTTTATTGTCTGCGATATGAATTTCAGTGCTTAAGCACATATAATGTAGGCCAAGCCAACATCATGCTATTTTGCATTTAGCAATTTTGAATAAGAGTCTTTAGGTAGAGAGATTAAATTTTATTATAAGAAACATCAAATGTCAAGATTTGCTAAACCGCAGCAATTTTACTTTCTCTTATTTTTGTTCGCTCTCTGAATTTAAATTACTGCATGCTTAATATTTGGGTCACGTGTAGGTCACTATTTGATATCCTATGTTTCTAAACAAAAATCTTTGAACAGATTAATAACTCATAGTAGTGTGAAATGGTTACAAATATAATGCTTGTTTTTTTTTATTTTATTTTATTTTACAACCGTCTTTGAACAGTCGACCCAATTTTGGTTTTACGACTATACTATTATTTAACTCCATAGCCTTGTAATTTTGAACATAATCCAGAAGAGAAGGGAATTCCTGGATCAGGTTGGGAGAAATTTGCCTTCATGGAGGACTTTTTTGATGGAACTAACCCTCATTTGCGTTACATGGAGAGGAAACCAAGAAACCCTCCCATGGTTAATCTGACGGCAAGGGGCCTCTTATTCAAAATATGTCTACCAATGAGAATATTTTACGTCAACATTGTGGTCGGTGAAAGCCGTGTGGAATTCGGATCGACCAGCCGTCGTTGGGATTCGAACCCGGTTTACCTCATTGGAAGGCGAACGCTCAATCTCTTGAGCCACCCAGGCTCTTGTTTTTAATATTATTATTATTCAACTCAGTTTTTTAACCATACAAAATACTTTTAAACAACGTATTATTTTCAAAACCTACGTAATTAGTATTTCACCTACATTACCACACATCATATCACTCGTACAATTGCTTTGTATGTTGACTTGTTTATAAATTTTTATACAATTAACCACCCAATTTACTATACTTTTTTAACCATATGCTACCACTAAAATAGGTTTTGGTGTATAATCGGTAGTAATTAAAACAAGTTAGCAAAAACTTTCTTTATCTATTTTCGTAAGTAGTGTTACATCTTTAGTAATTTTTATCGAAATATTAACGTATAAAAACATCTATAAAATTTACAACATGAAGTTACATTAGTTTCAACACCTGTCAAAATAGAGTTTCTTCAAAACCTTGATTAAGAGCTAGTTCAACGGTTAATGACAATATTTTTTAATAAAAGAAGAGAGCTTTAAAAATTATTTAATGTAGTGTTTCTTAAACAACGAAACGCCTTATGAGTTAGAATTGATCACCCCATTTTTTATAGCATTTCTGAAAGAAAACGGAACTTAAACATTTCAAACTGATCTAAGTGCTTATAGAAGGTTATTTTATTTTCCTACACTAATTATTTTTTTAATATTTTTAACGACTGAAACTTTCAATTAATTAAAACTTTCTTAATAAAAATGAGTATATTTGACATAATTTTAATTAATAAGAGTGTTATATTTAGTATCGAGCAAACTGTGAGACGTTCTTATGAGTTTTTTCCCGTGAAAAACTTATGTATGTTAGTTTTACCAGGAAATTCTACAACAAAGTTAGATTTTTTCGTAATACTTCACCCAATTCTCTCTCATCTTCTTAGTTCCCATTCATATTTTGATAGTTAATGAGTAGAACGCTGAGTGCCCACCGAAAGTTTATGGCCTCTTAAATAATCATGACCATGACTTCACTACTTAGCTTAACAGTAAAGCTAACATGTTAAAGTAAAATAAAACCATCGAAATTTATATAAAAATCTTTATGTTTAAAACCAATCAATATTTCATATCCAATCAATATTTTACAACCAATCAATATTTAAACATTATCAAATATAACAAAAGTTATGTAGTAAAAATATTTAGATTCCGATCGATCATTCCGACTCAACTATTTTTTTCAATATTTGCATTTTGTCTTTTAAATTTACGTAGTTAAAAATGATATAAAAATTTGTATACCTTACAATTCCCATTTTTTTCGACTATTGTAAAATATAAAAAAAAATGAAAAATAACAATAAATTATCTAGAATAATTTTTTACATGACATGTTTGGATAAACGAATTTTACAATTGTTAGCGAAAATTTTTCTCTTTGATTAAAAAGTTATTTAAATATGGCGAAATACGCAAAAAGTAAAATTAACATTAAAGATTCTAAGCTTTCGACGGCACCCCTGATTTAACTATTAAAATTGTATTTTCCAAATTTTGTTCTCCCCCAAATATTTTTAGGGTCAAGAATCCGAATCCTTCGAAAAAAAGGCATGTTTATTCAAAGACAATACATGCTGAAATATTGTCTGCTCTTATTAATAGGCATATTTAAGGTAAGGCCATTACGATTGAATCGTTGTATGTGAAAATCCAATCATTAGATCAAAAGTAATTCACTATGTTAACTTATTTTTTTACGCATGTACATATTACAGGTAAATTAAATTATTCAATACAGGTAAATTAATGGTTACATATACAGGTAAATTAAATTACTTTGAAACGCAATATCTATTATGGTCTGCGATGTATTAATTGTTTATTTACTTCGACCGTAATTTCAAGACTTGCACAGGAAAAAAAAATTCGACAATAAATATTTTATCTACGACCTATAAAAATATTATATACTATTAAGATATTATACTATAAAGATATTATCTACTACCTGGATAACATCTTTATCTAAAAAGTGATCATTAAACATTACTTGATTTTGGTAAATTGCATATAAGACCCTCTTTTAGTTGTTGAAAAGCAATTGCTATTATACTTCAAAAAATAAAAACGAATTTAAACGTTTTTGCAATTACAAGGTTCGTAAAAATATTTCTGAAACAGCCGGTTCACCTAACTGGAAGGCCCTGAGCCACCACGGCTCAAAATGAACTATTTTTTCTTCTTCTTCATAACAGCTGACCCAAGGGCTTACGATTACTAAAGTTCAATTCCGTAACCTTGTCATTTTGAACCAATCCAGAAGACAAGAAAACTCCTGGATCAGTATCCCCAGAGGTATTGATTTTTTATGGGAACGTGAAGGACTTTGCGACTCGATAGATTTAACGTGCATCAGTCACCATTTTACAACACCGGGAGTCTTCGGCCGGCGGGGACGAACCCACGAACTCCTGGACATGGGCCCAATACTCTACCATCCAGGCTATCCCGGCCCAAAGTGGACTATTTATAGTTACTAAAAAAATTTAAAAAAATTCTTGGCGTGTTACTTCCTGGAGTCTCATAATGCGGGACGAGGGAAAATGTCCTTTTCGCCCCACTCTTATGACGACTCTGGACTTAAGGACAGAGAAAAAAAATTCTTATGTATTTGTAAGCAAATTTATAGGAAGGAAGTCTTGCACAGTTTTACAATGACTTTATAATATTCAAAAACCCGACTCAATGAACTTTTATCAAAATCTGCAGAAATTTTAAGAAGCATTTACACTGTAAGCGAATGACCTAGACGCGCGTGCGAATGTTTAGAAACTACAAGTAAAACAAACTGTTCGCACGTGCGCTAATCGCATTGACAAACGATCACCTATGAGAATCGCATAGAGAGTGCTCCGTTAGACTTCGTGCTCATTGAACCACTCTGTATTGCAGTTCAAGTACATTTCCTAACACTTTGTATTGTTTTATTTTAGGTGCAATTTCTACCAATATGCAAGACCATTGTCCAATCAACACAACTTTGAAAAATGGACGAGTTAAATTACAGTCACGAGGTGGTATTACGGCAATTTTTTCCTGCGATTCTGGTTTCATTCTTCGTGGTAGTAACGTATCACACTGCCAAACAGATGGACATTGGTCTTCTACGCTGCCGTCATGTGTTTTAGATGGTAACTAATGCCATTCGTGGTAATTGTTTTATCTCTGTTTGCTAATATATGAATTTAAATATAACTCTTGACCTATTTACAAAACACAGTTTATAAGTACTTGTAAAATCTTTATTCTTTGTAGATAGATAACTCGCTGTACAAAAATTTTCAGAACAAATTAAAGCATTTTACTCTAAAAATTTGCATCAGGCTATATTAAAAAGGCACTCTGTCATATGGCCCGTTAATAAAACATTCAGCACATAGTACAAATTTAAAAAAATTCTCCAACGCTTATGAAACAAAAAGTTATAGGTCTGAGGGCGGGGGGGGGACAGCACAACATGCAACACAACAAAGTTCCCGTAAAGTATATGAGATGTAATGCTTTGTTCCACACTGTAAATAAGGAAATGCTTCCCCGTAAGGAATTATCAAGATGAATATTTCCTAACATTTCTATGAGTATATAAAAAAGCTAGGGTATTCAAGCTTTATTCCCCATTTAGAGCACCAGTCTTTACCATTTTGTTTTTAAAAACAGTGTTTGAAATATTCCAGCTAAATATAAAAAATGGTGTATGACAAGAAGATTAACTGACCTGTCTTGTATTTAATATAGCTCAAGAAAATTCTGTTAATAAACACCAGGGAAAGCATTTTTAGAAAATACGTGCAAAATACCTGCAGATGATGTTGCTATATTACTCAGCACCAATCAAGCTCTTAAACAGGCTTTTATGTCGCTAAAACAAAATACAAAAGCAATTAATTTATCAGTAAATAAAAAAAGGACCAAATATATGCCATTTTTAAATTTAGGTCTTCAAATCAGTTATCTGGAAATGGGAGAAGGCAAGCTTTAAAAAATGGATAATTTCTCTTGTTCAGGAGCAGAATTTAGCAGCAATAATGATCTAACCTCAAGAATACATAAGCGAATCACATTTATAGTCTAAAAAAATGCATGACGTCCAGTTTTAGTTTTCTAAAATAAAAATTTAAATTCCTTTTATATAAAACACTTATAAGAACTGTTTTATTAAATGCATCTGAGACATGGGTATTAACATCGAAATATAAGATAGCGTTGACAATTTTCTAGACGAAAGTAGCAAGAAGTATTTGAGGTGGAACTCGGGTTGAACAGCTTATGGCAAAGGCTTATCGAAAGTGCAAAAAATTATTTCTAGAGAAGCCTATAGGAATTTTATTTTTATTTTAAAACCGTCGTTGAACAGCCGACCCAATTTTGGGTTTACGACTACTAATGTCAACAGCCTTGTAATTTTGAACCAATCCAGAGGACAAGGAAACTCCTGGATCAGTATCCCCAGTGGTAGGATTTTTTATGGGAACATGGAGGACATTGAGACTCGACAGATTTAACGAGCATCAATCACCATTTATTACACGGAGAGTCTTCGATCGGCAGAGACCAAACCCACGACCTCTTGGACATGGGCCCAGTATCCTACCAACCAGGCTATCCCGGCCCTAGACTATAGAAATTAGCAAAAGTCAGACCTCGCCTTAGATGGATCGACTGTTTCGTAAAAGATTATGAAAGCATTATGAAAACCAAAAATTGGAGGACAGTCACCAAACGGAGATACTACTGGAAAAGACTTTTTGAGAAAGCAAAGGCCATTTCAGGACTGCTGTTTCATTGAAGAAGAAGTATATACAATTTTCACATGCTCACATTGCATGTCACAAATATTAGCATGCACCTGAATAACATTTATACGAGAACAGTATTTTACCTTCTTCTATTTCACAGGAACTTTTCAAGTTAACAAAAGTGTGATGAAAGGCTTTGATCTAAAGTAAATGAAATAATAAATTTATTGCTTTCTATTATTTAGGATTAAAGTTTTACTGATTAGAATTAAATAAATGCAAAAATGATTGTTTATAAGTATTTTTAATAAATGAACTAAAAAGCGAATGTCAATTTACAAACACTAAAAAAAAATTTCATTATAACTTATTTTTGAATTGCGTTAGCAAGTTAATGTAACTAAGCAAATATTACATGATAAAAATATTTTACTGACTTCTAAAATTGATAAATAATTATAGATTTTGTAAATTTGGCAAAAGCTTTATAAATTACTAGAAAAATTTTCTTTCAAATTTTAGTTAAAACCTTTTTTTCTAACGATGGGTTTTAAAATGTACTGAAATGCGTATTCCTTTTGCAGGTTTCAACGATAAAAAATGCTCAACTAAAATAGAAAGTATAAATTTGACGGAAGGACAATTTATAAACATTAGCTGCCCATTCGATGAAAAAGTGGATAGAAGTCAACACTTTTGGATTGGAAATGGAAAACTAGTACAAACTTCTACATACAAGCGACATGCCGTTGAAATTTCTGTCAAAAACAGTGGATTATATACGTGCCTAGGTTATAACTCAGATGAAGTAAATATTTTAAGAGCTGTTAATGTGTCTTTAACTCTACCAACACAATTAAATTCCGAACAATGTGAATTTAGTTTTACAAACAGAACTTCTTACATCGAAGCTGTCTTTGGATCCGAAATATTCTTATCTTGCGAAACAAAACCTATCTTAACAATGATTTCTTGGTATAAAAATGGGAGATTAATTTTAAAAGAAACACATGACGTTTTCTTTTTGAATATTTCCAGCTTGCAGAGCATTCATGAAGGTGTTTACTCCTGTTTAGCATATCAATTAAATAATCCTAACTGTGCAATTGAGAAAAATATCACAGTTAAAATGCTAAATAGTAGTAGTTCCAGTAACGATACTAAATATGCGTGTGGTCAACCAGCTGTAAATTCTGTACGAAGGTGGAGACGAGTAATAGATGGTAACAGAGCAGCTCTGTTGTCGGCTCCATGGATGGGCATGCTATCTAAGAGCCGTGAACCTCCATTCTGTGGCTGTAGCCTTATATCTGATAAGTGGATAATAACTGCTGCACATTGTTTTCGAATAAAGAACAATAATGTTTATAATTTTATGTCTCAAGAAAAAATTAAAAATACGGTCATCGTAAAATTCGGAAAGTATCTCCGGCGTCAAATTGAAAAAGGGGAAATAATTAGACTGATACAGAATTTAATTGTTCACCCGAAGTTCATACTTTCTCCTAATGATGATAAAATAATCAATGAGCATGACATTGCTCTTGGAAAATTGAACGAATCAATAATTTTTCAAGAAAACGTCTTACCTATTTGTTTACCTCCACCTGGTTTCACAGCAACAATACCTACAGGAACTCTAGGAGTAGTAACAGGATGGGGACGAGTAACTGTCAGAGGTTCTGTCATGGCTTTGACACTGCAAGAAGCTTTCTTGCCATTAATTAATAACACCTCCTGCCAGCAAACATCGAATTACGCGATAACAGATAGTATGATATGTGCAGGTTATGCAGAAAGTTATCGACCTGATACTTGCACTGGAGATAGTGGAGGGCCATTTATTTTTCAAAAATCAAATATTTGGTTCTTAATTGGTGTGGTAAGTTGGGGAGAAGGCTGTTCTACACCTAGAAAGTTTGGAGTATATACTAAAGTTGAAAGTTATGTACCATGGATTGAATTAGTCACTGTAGAAAAATGAACTATGAACTAAAAGCATAAAAATATCCTCTCAATATTTAAGATTGACTAAGCAGTATGAAAAATGAGTACCCTCCTTTATTATTAGCAGTCTCTTATGCTTAAATATAATATGTAAGAAAAGTTGCAATCACGCGATTTGCATTGAACTTAGAAAAAGGTTCTCATAAGTATTTTTTTTAAAACTATCCGGACTACCTAAGAAGTTATGTCTTTTTATCATTCTAAAAATAAAGGATAGAGGGTGGAAAGGAATTATATTTATTTCAAACACTTTTATACCAAATTTTCTTTGAAATCTTTAGTTTTGACTTTAGATCCAGCTTCCCTTTCAGCGGCAAATGTTATAAATTGTTTTGAAAAAAAGTGGGGGGAAGGAAAGTTTAATCCTTTTCAGAGCATAACGGCATTCATCTAATAAACATCCTTATGAAAATTGTGGTTATAATGCAGTGTATTATAGACTGTTCATAGATTCAATATTCATTTATCTTCACATAGTCAGTAACCACCACTCAGGCCTTAAGAGAAGACATAAAAGGGCTGGTTCATTCCATACTCAAAGCTGAAGCTGATTCCCCACCTCATGACGTCACGCCGCGCACAGATCTCAAAAATAAGAACTAGAAGATATGAAAACTTTGCTGCTTTCAGTAAGAATGCTCGACACTTTTCTGATAATAGCTGTCAAACTTTACCCTGCTAGCAAATTATTTCTTTTCAAAAATATAGTATTCATACATTTTCTTAGTATTCCTTATAGTATTAAAAAAAAAACATCTCAAAGTTAGAAGAATATCTCAATGGTTGACGTTATCGTTTTCTTATCATTTTCTAATTTTTGTTTTTAACTTTTACTGTTAAATAAATAAAAGCATATAAGAACACTTTTATAGTAACATTTTGTTCCATAATAATATGTAACTCTAAAAGTGCCCTTATATTTGATTAATTAGGATGCCTAATTTTAATACATTTTCTTATTTATAATTGTAATAGCAATTTTTTTATATATATATTATCACTAGGAAACAAAACTCTTAAATGCTAATTACTAAAAAAATAATCTTTGAGCATATAATAATGGAAATATTACACTTGCTCAAAAATATTTAACATTAAAGCGTTATAATTAAAACACATAAATATTTTGAATAATGATATTAAAAAATATCTTACTAAATTGGAAGCTTAACTTTTATTTTTGAAGTTCAGGATTTTATTTATTTATTTTTTTGTGACCTTGTACATTTTTTTTTCTTTTCTGTTCAAAGTTACGAGACGGTATCGATTTCAATGGCGAAATTAAAAGTTCTTAAGCGTCTAAACAAAAAACATGAAACATAATGCTTTTATTCAAAGCAGGATAAATTCTGATGTAGAGCAAGGAGTCCCAAAATAGTAAGTGCGCCAAAAACATCGATAAAGTGAGCCAAAGGGTGAGTTTGGCGAAGTTCCCTCTGACTGTAGGGGTTGCATCCCTTTAGGAATCAGTCAATTGGTTGCCTAGCAGTTGGAAGGTGAAGAAAGTTTAGATATGACGTCCTGGTAAATGATCTTAGTTTCTCCCCTCCCCTTTTTGTGTTACTTACTGTTATGGAATCAATATGTAATCAAGAAAATTTTAATTATTTAAATTAACTTTAATATGTGTAATAGATTTTTAACTCTAATTAACATGATACATACTAAAGTAGTATCAATAGTTGTATCAATGGTGCCGAGACACCGTACCACGCGGGTTAGGGCATAACGTATTATTTTTCTAATCTTAATTCATCCAGCTTAAATTATAAGTTTCATGCACGCAATGTTTTCTAAAATTCATTTATTTATTAATTGTTTTAGAGATATTTTAAAATTTTTTGAATTAATTTTTTTTTAAAAACCTACATTGAATTATGCACGTGTTGAAAATTGCATGTACGCGATTTCATTTTCTTGTTTCAAATGCTTGCAGGTCAAATANCACGCAATGTTTTCTAAAATTCATTTATTTATTAATTGTTTTAGAGATATTTTAAAATTTTTTGAATTAATTTTTTTTTTAAAAAACCTACATTGAATTATGCACGTGTTGAAAATTGTATGTACGCGATTTCATTTTCTTGTTTCAAATGCTTGCAGGTCAAATAACGTATAATAGAATTATTTTATGCATTTTTTAAAAGTTAAGGAAATATTTATTGCATATAATTTGATGAATAATTATGAACAGAAATAAAGCAGGTAGACGGCAACCGGAGCCGTACGACGCGGGTGCGGAACAAGGATTACGAAACATTTCAATGCATTTAATAGAGTTAATCCCAAAATTTAAATAAAAGGAAGATTCAATTAATAGTTTTATTACAAAAATAGATGAAGTAGGATGATAATTGGAACGATAACGATAAACTGACGGTATTAAAACTTAAAGTATGTGAGGATGCGGAGAAGTTTATTGAAAGTTATTCTACAGTTAATGAATATAATAATTTAGTTAATCTACTTAAGTCACATTTTGAGAAAAAAGTTCCATTAACAACATATTTGCAGGAACTCGCGATTTGTGCTCAGTACGATTCGTAAAGCATTTTCGATTTTAGCAATCGCCTTCGTTGATTGGGCGGGGATATTCTATCCGCTCAGACAAATGGCGCTGGCAAGATTTTGTACTGGCATTAAGCCAGAATTGCAGAGGCAGGTTTTAGGAAAAAAACCTCGAACATTTGAAGACGTCGTTCAGTGTGTGATTAAGGAAGAAGATAATTTTAAAATTTTTGAGAATGAGTCGAGAAACAGGGAGGCATCCATCACTAACAAATTTCAGGAAAAGTTAATATGCGAGTTGACGGCTCAAATTTCTAAATTATCAGTCGAGGTAGATACATAGAAAAATCAGGGAAAAACAAATGAGGCGGAGGTAAACAATCTTACTTCCAGAAGATACCCCACGTCATCGGTTAGGTGCCATTACTGCGGGGTTCAGGGTCACATTCAGGCAAAGTGTTATAAAAAAGAGAGAGATCAAAGGCGAAACAGATCAAAATCACGAAAAAGGGTTGGATTTAGGAGAACATATTATGCTAACAGAAGAAATTTTGTTAATAATGCTGATGAAAGGAGAAATGTTAATACTCGAAATTATCGAGATTTAAACTCCGGAGGGAGGTATTAAAATCAGGGTCTGCTGCATCTCCCGGAAATTCTTGTGATTCAGACCAATTTAAATTGCCCGTTATTAGCGTAGTATCAAATCAATGTAAATTTAATTGTTTAATAGATAGCGGAGCAACAATTTCATTATTGAGTCCAAGATAAAATAAATAAAAATGGTCAAGTTAGAATTAAAATCCAATATAAATATAAAAGCAGTAAATGGTAGCAAGGTAGAAATAAAAGAACACGTTAAACTTATCCTAGAAATAGGAAATACATCGGTTGAACTAAATTTTTACGTTACAGATAAAGATTTTTCAAGAAATTATGAGGCTATTTTAGGGATAGATTTTTTAAAAACCAAAGATGCAAGTATTAATATTAAAGATAATAGCATTAAAATCATGGAAGGAAAAATTCCATTAAATTATGTATCAAATATAACTCATGAAAACAGTAAACATATAAAATTACGATTAAATCAAAAATTGTTAATTCAACTTGGAATTTCGTCAGTTGTTTACGTTGACGTACCAATACTGCATGAAAATTGTTCTAAAATAACAATCGATAAGAGTAAAAAATTAAAAAGAAAAGGGGTTTGTTTTGAAGATACCAATGATTTATTAGATGTAATTGATAATAAAACTCGTGTCGTTTTAAATAAGGAAACAGATAAAGCTATTATGTTAAACAAGCATACAATTGTAGGTTCAATAAATAATTTTGATGATTTGCCAGAAGAATTACCTGTATCCGGAGAATTACTCCCACCAATTCATGAACATGATTTTAAATTAAAACATTTGGACTCCAAAGCAAAACACAGAGTTGCCCAAATCTTGTTTAAGCATGAAAATGCGTTTGCTAGATCGACAATAGAATTATCGGAAGCTATTACTGATCCTCACGAAATTCAATTACTTCATAACAATCCCATTAAATGTCCTTCCTACAAAATACCTTTTCATTTGCGTGCAGAATTTCGAAAACAAATACGTGATTTGGAAAAGGCTGGGATTACTTCAAAATCAAACTCAAATTATAACGCTCCTGCATTATTTGTTAGGCAAAACAGTAAATATCGCCTCGTAATAGACTTTCGTAAACTCAATGAAATAACGGTTCCCTTAGATTTCGTAATTCCAACTTTAGAGGATATATTGTTCGAAATTTCTGGATCAAATAATTATATGAGTATGCTAGACCTCAAGACAGCCTTCAATCAAATAAATATTAAAAGGAAAGATAGACATAAAACAGCATTTACTACTCCTGATGGTGTAAAATTTGAATTCAATCGCCTTTGTTTTGGTTTGAAAAACTCGCCCAAGGCATTTCAAAAGATAGCACAGGAAGCGTTATGTGCTTTGCAGAAAAATGGAGCTCTCGTCTATATAGACGATATAATACTGTATAGTAAATCTATCACAGAGCATTTAACTCTTCTTAATGAAGTTTTGAACAGATTTTAGGAATTGCAATTAAAATTTAATCCAAAAAAATGTCAATTTCTCACAAAAGCGTGTAAATTTTTAGAGTTTGACTTAACACCTAAAGGATTGTCAATAGACAGCGATAAAACAGTTAAAATAAATGAATTTCAAGTTCCTAAAGATCAAAATCAGATTAAACCGTTCTTGGGGTTAGATGGATTTTATCGTCGATATATAAAGAATTTCTCAAAACGTGCTTTACCTCTAATTAACTTACTCCGTAAAGATGTACTCTTTGTTTGGAATGATGAAACACAAAACGCGTTCGACGATATAAAAAATGCAATTTTGTACCCACCTGTTTTAGTCCTTCCTGACCCGGAAGCCGAATTACAATTAACAACAGATGCCAGTTCTTTAGGGATCGGTGCAGTACTCGAACAAAAATATCCAAATGGGGAGGTTAAACCTCTTTATTTTTACTCGAAGAAATTTAAGTCAATCTCAAGCTAAATATAGCGCTACGGTATTAGAATTTTTCGCAATCTATTCATCATTAATCTTTTTTAGAACATTCTTAATAGGTAGAAAATTTAATGTTTACCCTGATCACAAACCTCTCGAAGGTTTTTTATCCTATAAGAATCCCTCGTCTAAAATTTTGAGGTGGAAACTAGCTCTGGAGGAATTTAATTACAAAATAATTTATATCAAGGGCAAACTCAATGTGGTCGCTGACCATTTATCGCGATATGAAATATGTATGAGTGTGATATGATATGATCGCGATATGATATGATTGTTAATAACTTAACAATAGTTTTTCCAAAAAAATCAGAACAAGTTAATTGACAAAGTCAAGATCCTAAATTGAAAAACATTATTGATAAACTAAAAGAAAATAACAATTCTGAATATCCAGATTATTTGCTAGATGAAAATGGAGTGTTAATTCATTTGTCCAAACGGAACAATGAATCTCCCAGGAAAGAGTTTAAAAAGCAAATCTGTGTACCCTCTTCTTTAAAACCAAAAGTATTAGAATCAGTCGATTCAGAAATAGGAGGTCATCTCAGATTTTTTAAAACCTACAATAGATTAGCTGAATTTTTTTTGGGGGATAAAATGTACAAAGACACGAAAAATTTTGTAAATTCCTGTATTGCTTGCTTATCCAAGCGTAGTGTTTTTAAAATGCAATCAGCTCCGACGCAGATGGTTGAACAAAGTACGTATCCCTCAGAGCGTTGTCACGCTGATATTTGTGGACCATTGAAAGTCACCACATCGGGGAACAAATATGTTTTATTATCAATGATTGATGCATTTTCTAAATAAATACATTTAGCAGCTTTACCAGACATGAAATCCGAAACCATTTCAAAAGCATTTTTTGATAATTATATAGTTCACAGTGGTTGTCCTAAAATTATAGTAACCGACAACGCCAAATATTTTTCAGGAAATGAATTTACAGAGTTTTGTAAGATTCAAGGTATCGAGAAAATTCATACCTCAAAGTATGCACCTTGGGCCCAACGGTAGAATAGAAAAACCAAACCAATCAATTGCAAATATTTTGGCAACAATTTGCAATGAGGATAACGAATGGGACAAGCAACTGTCACAAACTATGTTGGCAATTAACGAATGCTTACAAGCTTCTCCATTTTTTATAGAACACCTTAAAGACATGAGATTGCCCTACAGTTTGGGTGAGGGTGGAAAATTTCAATCCCATTCAGAATATGCAATTAAATTAATTCGGTCCTTAGACGAAATCTTTTCAATGGTTTTAGAAAATTTAAAAACTCAAGAAAAAAAAATATTGGGAGAAGTGAAATCAGGAAAAATATCGAAACATTTAATTATCCAATAGGTTCCCTCTGTTTTGTAAGAACTCCTAATTTAAAAAAGTCAAGTTTATCGAATAAATTACTAACAAAATTTGAAGGGCCATATCACATAATGGAGCGTTTTTCTAAAGTGAATTATCGAGTCAGAAGTGTCGAATATAATCGAAAAGTTTTTAACTGTCTCGTGAACAGATTGTTACTGTATATTCGAAGATATTATTTGCATTTTACTCCTAAAAACATTGCAGACCTGCAGGCAAATTTCAAAGAGACAAATGAACCGGTTAGTAAATATAATTTGCGTCACCGTAACAATTAAATACAAATGATAAATAAATCCTAAATAAAATATTTAAATGTTCATAAATGCTTGTAAGATACTCTTTTTTTTAAGTCCATTAAAATAAATTTATTACTAACATGAGAGAAAAAAAATTTTTTTAAGAGATAGGTTAAGTTTATTTTAATTTTTTCAGTTTGATCACCTGGAAAAGTTATAACGAAACAATTTATTTCTTACTTAAGGTAAATTTGTAAATTGGTTCTAACACCCTGATCAAGTGTTTGAATTTATTTAAAATAATAAATTTATACAATATTCATTTAAATTATGGGGGAAAACTAGGATGCTCACTGGGGGCCTTTGGTCCCTGGCTATTTATAGGTCCCATTGGACTAACTGATATTTTTACATACAAAGCTATTGGTGTTACTTAAATTTGTATTTAGAGATTAGTGATGTCGGAAAAGAAATAGAGCGACAATTAGGACTACTTGCTAGCGCAATTGAGGTGACGTCTTGGCTTCAAAGCTACTGCTCCATGAAGTGTTTGCTGATCGTTCCCCTGAAGTGTTTGGTAATCGCCCCCATGAAGTGTTTGCTGATCGTACTCAACTGTTTGCTGATGCTCCACGTACTGTTGGTGCCACAATGACTGTTCCCACTCACATGGTTCCTCCACCTATCCTTCAACTGGATTTCCCTGCTCCTCCAGTTTTATCATTTGGTAGGATTCCTCCACAACCACCTTCGTTGCCAAAATCAGCTGCATCTCAAATACATGCTCCACCCAGTATACACGCTTCACCACTTCCTCCGAAAGTATTCAGCAGCCTACATCTGACTTCAAGAGACGAAGCAAAATCTTGGACATTAGCTTGCGAGACCTAGCTCGACATTGTTTCCAGTGCCAGAAGATGTTTTCAAGGATTGTAACTCCTTGAACTCATGGACTTTTGCCTTGGACACTAATTAAATTTTTTCACTTTTAGAGAACTAGGTTCCTCACCAGGTGCGTCAATGAATTTCTCGGTAATCCCTCGTCTATGGCGGGGGAGGGATGATGCAGAGCAAGGAGTCCCAAAATAGTAGGTGCCCCCAAAACATCGATAAAGTGAGCCAAATGGTGAATTTGGCGAAGTTCCCTGTTGCTGTAGGGGTTGCATCCTTTTAGGAATCAGTCGATGCGTTGCCTAGCAGTTGGAAGGTGAAGAAGGTTTAGATATGACGCCCTGGTGAGTGATCTTAGTTTCTCCCCCCCCCTCCTTTTTGCGTTGCTTACTGTTATGGAATCAATATGCAATCAAGATAATTTTAATAATTAAAATTTAAATGAACTTTAAAATGTGTAATAGATTTTTAACTCTAATTAACATGATACATACTAAAGTAATATCAATAGTTGTATCAATTATTCCAGTACATTTTATAATTCATTTGATGTCACCTTTATGTTTTCTGAAATAAAACATAGAAAATTGTGTTTTCTCGATTTTGCGTTTTATTAAAGTTCTTGCAGGTCGCTATAGCGCAAGCTCATATTTGGCTACTACTGTTAAATTCTTGAAATCAGATGAGAAGAAAATTACATCAAAATGAATAAAAAAATATCTCACAAATGTATGTATTGGAAACAATGAATGTATTGAAATAAATTTTAAAAAGATGCTAATTACATGTGAAACAATATATTTTTAAAGCAAGAAGTTGATGCTGCGCCGCCGTGACGTCACTGACTGAAATCAGAAGCTCGCAGCGGCACGAGTCTCTTCAACGGCGTGACATAGCCCTTCTATTCTCTCTTTATCCCTGACCACCACTATAGTAATAGTAATCACCACTGCCAATACGTATTTTTTGAAACTTTGTGAAAATGATGTCATTAAAACTTCGTTAGATCAAAAATTAGTATTTAAATGAAAAAAGTTAACAAAAATTTTGACGAGCCATTGCCAACCTACTTTTTCATTTCAAAATGAAAAATAACTATATGAAAAGCTTCCTAATTCCCTCAAACAGATTAATTACTTTTATTTTAATTCTTCTCCAGGTAGTCGAAACCATGCAACATGGCAGCAGCAGATTAACTCAGTTCCTACGGATATTTTTTCATCTCAGACTTCTTTTAATCATGTAGGGATTATTCCTTTCACAAGTGCAAAGAATTTTTGAATTATTTAAAAACTTTTAACCCTTCTTTGCATGATGTATAGTATAAAGTAATTTAAAAACAGTATGCTAGAAATATTCATCATCATGGGAATTTCCGTGCTAAACTCCATGTTAAGTACAAAAAAAATAACATATCTTTATATCATTTTTATTCCTGATGATAATTAAGAAAAAGAAGAAGAAAAACATTATTATTCTCCTCTTGTAACACTCTTATAATTTCATCTGCATCGCGGTACTAGTCCTCAGAATTTTCGTCATCAAGGCCATCTTCTGATTTATTTATTTTTAAATTTAATAACATCAACTTATATATAATACATCAACTTATATATAATAAAATATTTTGCCATTTCCAGATTCAAATATAAATTAGCTTACTAAATAAATGCATAGAATATTGATAGTAAAAAAGGAACCATGAAAAATACAAAAACTTTATTTTTTTTTAAATGAAAATTTTAAAAAATATATAAATTAATAATAAGTACATTATGTGCAATACTTTATAATAAATAAGTACTTTATTAAAAACTTTAAACTGAGTAGGTACTATCCAGCATCTTTCGTTTTAAAATTATCTAAATAAATATGACCACTTCATATTTTTACTTAAACTGAAATATCTGATATCTCCATGAAATCCTTTATGTTAAAAAAAATTGTTATTTGCCCTATTCAAAAACTATTTATACTATAAATAAACGCCGCTAAACTGACGGAGTAAAGAGTCATTTTAAGTATAAGCACGGTGCGCCTTAACCAAAGTTAA